GTTGGTCTTTATACTGAACGATTATTTTTAGTGTTGCCCTCGAACGGGACAGAGAAACATGCATTTGATGCACTACGTTTTAAGACAACGTGTTTATGGCTTCTGGCTTCGAAATTAATTATTATCATCAGGGAATTTCATTAAAAGACTTCTGGATACAACACAATCCACAGTGGATTTATGTCATAAAAATGTAAAGCGCTACCTCAAATTTTGTACTTATATATGTACAAAGAAAACGCAATTTACGCAATAATTAATAACAATAAAAATTAGATAAAGTGGTATATTATGATTAGTTGAAGATATTTTTAACTTTAACTTGAATTAAATTAATAATCACTAAATTTGAGAATAATTATTCAGTTCATAATATTTTAATTATGGAAATAAGTCTAAAAAATATGGTGAATACATATTTTTTAGTCTATTAATTAATTTATTACATCATCTTTATATAATATATAATAAAACAATAAATTGTTGATTTGTTTTAGGAAATTTATGAAAAAAATAAAAAATTATAATTTCAATTTATTGGCCAGAATATATATAGAAAAAAAATCAAAATTATATAACTCTGAAAATAGAGAAATAGCTCTATATACATTTTTCTTAACTTTTTCCTCTCAAATTAATTAAATTTCATTCAATTTGGCTGAAACATAATACTTTAAAAAATGAAGAGTAGATAAGCTTCTCATTAAAAAAAAATCAAAATCTGTTCACAATCTCTTCACCAATGTGAACTTTGATTTTTGTTAAAGTTTCAAATAAGAGTTGATCTGTATTTTAAACCATGTTTTTTGTAACATTTACATAAAATTACTTAAGTAATAATTATTAATTAAATAATTATAAACTTGTAATTAATCATAAGATAATTTTTTAATTCTTTAATATTAATTTAATAGTAAATTAATTTCTATATAAAAATACAACTTTAAAATAGGAAACTTATAATTATTTACATTCACGTATTTTTTCTTCAATATTTTTATTATATAAAACAGAAACATTTGTACAAAAATGTACATTAGGAATAGATTAATGTATATAAATTATCTTTTAACTAATATTAATAGAATTTGAATATTCTTCTTTGATCGGAAAATGTTCAATATTCATCGTCACCTCAATCGTTCCTAAAATGGAGACACCTGTGAGTCGTTTTATTTCTAATTCAATCCATTTGCGTCCAATATCTTGGAAGGTTTTCAACGAAATTGGATTTAAAATTTGGTATCTGATAGTTGTTCCTTTTTCCTTGCTTCAAGGTGTCTCAAGCTCTGAAGCAGCGGGGATCGATCGACGGCGTTAGCTTATTTTAGTTGTGCCCCTTTTTTTTGCTTCCTCAGTTTTTCACTTTATAGTGATGTACGTGCAGTGGAACAAGTGTCTCCTCCTCGATGAGAACACCATTACTCATAAAGTCCCGATGGACTTGATGGCGTCTGTCACTTGTTAGACGACCAATCCGAACTGACAGATTGGAGACTCGAAGCACATTTCTCTCGATGGATACGAAGTCAAAAACCGCACCACATATCTGACAATGCACTATCGGATCGTTTACTAATTCAGAGAGGCGCGAGAGCAAAATTATAATTCGATTTACTATACGAACAACGAAACACAAGAGGTAAATAAAAGCGAAACCTCACAAACGCTGAAACCATAGGCGGTTCAGATAAAAAATGCATTGGTTGAGGGGAGAGTAAATTGTAGAAGTTGGCGGATGAGATGGAAGGATGAGGAAGACATTGATGGACACGGTTATAATTGCGGACGGTCGGAAGCCCCGCTGTTTATTACAGTAGTTCCATTTCACGGTGCTACCTTGCAATGCGTTATCCAAACTTCTGTTCTGTATGCAGACCAATCTGTTCCCGACCGGGGACGGAGGAGCTCATGCATAATAATGAATTACGTCCCACGGGCAAATTAAAATTAAAGGTCTCGTGTCTTCAAAACTTTGCTATTTAGTGCAATGATTTCTATATGCAGATTAACTTTGATAATGGGTAAGGAAAACCGGAGCGGGGAAATAAAGAAAGAAAGAAAAAAATAAGAATAAAAGAAAACGGGAGCGGACACGGAAGGAGTTCTGTGCACGGAGGCCTCGGGATTGCAATCCTCCGCATCGACCAAACTAAATTATTAATAATCCCACTAGACCCAGAAGCCACACAGAAACCTTAATTACATTAAATAACAGCCGAATTTGTTCAATTTATCTTTCGCTCCTCGAGCTCTGTTGCCCACTGTTTAACCTTGCCTCGCTTTACTTATTTCGGGATAGCTTTGAAACTTTAAAGCTTTTAATTAATAACACTCTGACATTCATGTATACCTGTCAATTTGTTTTAACGTTTTATACTGTCACCTACCTTGCAGATTTGTATCTCCATTTACATTCACATTAATTGCAACACCCATAAACATTTATTTTCTCTATTGTACATATATTTGTCTCATGCTGCAACCACACTATGCCTGACATGCGACATAAATGACTGTCAGGCGTACCAATTACTAATGGTTATCATAGAGCGTGATTACAGTGAAAGTAAACTGATAGCTGCAATTCTACTCTGCGCTGCCACGTGTACATATAAGTTGGTACGCCTCGTAGTCATTTATGTTTTATGTCACACATTGTATGGATGCAGCAATAATGTGTTTATTTTTATAATTAATGAACAAAATATAGTTGAAATAATAATTTTAAACAATAATTAATTATTCGTATGTTTCTCTTTTACATACTTTTGTATTTGTACTAATATTGATAAATATCATTGCAATAGTCGCATGTAACAAAAAGTAGTCATTAATAATATGTATAGTATTTCCTCGATTAGTCCGGATTAAACGAAGTATATCGGTATTCAATATTGATAACTTTCACAATTCAACATTTCTTCAAACTGTTCTTCGGACTGTTTTTTTCAATGATTTATATAATTTTATAATTGTTGACTTTATTGTTACATTTCTTTGAAATTACCAATAAAATTTTATTCTTCTTTGGCCAGCCTATTAGTATATATATTTTTATTGTATGTTAAAATTTATTTATGTATAAATTGAATTGTTTTTTTCTCGTCTTCTTATGTATCGATGTTTGGCCAATAAATTATTATTATTATTTTATTTTTCTTGATAATTATTATTGATTAAATATATATGTAATAAAATTACAAATTTAATTTCATTTTCAAATATGTTCTTCTCAACTGACAAATGTTTATAATATTTCTTTGATAGATAAGCCAATTTTATTACGTTACATATTATTTCAAAAACAAGCCTTACTTGTCAGCCTATTTGGCTTTATTGATTTTGTTTTTAATTTAATTTGATTACTGTTGAAGAATTCTTATAAATAAAAATAAATATATTGTTACATATTACACTTAGTATGGATTTGAGCAAATTTTATTTCTTTTTATTTATTCCCAACTTGTGATATTGCACTTTTTTTCTTTAGAACTGATAGTTTCTCATTTAAAATTTAAAATATATTTACGATACAAATTTCAATTTCAGGTTGAATTATTAGTCCTTCATATTTCATACATTATTTTGCATAGAAATCCATATTTTTTCATAATCTGTCAAATAATAGTTAAAGAAACAATTTTTGAGAGAAACAAGTATTTTCAAATGACAAATAACTATTAATGTTCTTCTATTCTTTATTTACATTCATTAGCCATAAATTGGGCCAATAGTCTAACGATCAAAGTTTTTTTGCCATGTATTTTTTTTTTCAATATATTTGATAATGAATAAATAATTAATTCCAATTTTTTTTTCATGAATGTATAATTTTAATTACCCCCGATTTTTTCTTATTCTTTTTGGGGTAATTTACCTCAGTTTGATGACCTCTCGATCTATAGATAGATTTTGTAATTATAATTTTGAATCGATATATTACATATAATATGAATACGTATATATTAAATACTTAAATACAGAATAAATTAATTATTTAAAATTCCTTGTTTGATAATATCATTATCTAAAATGTATCACTTTTACGTGATATTGAGATATGAATTTGTATCCTATATTTCCTCCTTACTAACAGTGATTATCTTCATCCGCATATTAATAGAGAAATACATCCGTATTTTTACCACCCTTTCGGTACTTATCGAAAACACAATGGAATTTTGTTGAACCTTCTTATCACATTTTATGATACAAAAATTTCTAAATTTGATATTTATAATGTGATTTATTTTGATTAATTGAAATTAATTCAAAAAATTTTAACTTATACAATTATTGACTATTAAAAAAAATCATTTTTTTTTAATGCAATTTAAAATTTGGTGAAATCATGATATACTTGTGACTTTTTGTTATTAATTAAAATATTATATTTACTTATAACGAATATATTTAACAGTCAAAGTTATATAATAATAATTGTATATGAATCATATTTTCATTTAGTAAAAATACCGCAAGTTAGAATATTCATTTGCATATTTTATGTATCGCTTGTATTAAATTTAAGAACTACGGAAGTAAATTTTTTATTTGAACTTACCTACTGCAAAACCTTATGCATCTTCCATGGAAACGGTGAGTAAAAACGCGGATTTCATAATAATAATAATACAGTGCAAGCAAAATATATTGAATGTTATTAACAGAGTTTATGACATCTAGCTTTGCAGGTAGATTTATTCAGCTTCGATTTTTAATATAATGCTGTCGAATACAAGAGCGCTTCCAGCAAATATCCAAAGATATAGATATATAAGTTTGCATATAAATGCTTGCTGAAAGGAGGGAAGACACCCATCGCGGATGAAGAGAAGAAAAAATAAAAATAAACACGTAGGAAGATATTGCAGAGTGATATTGGGAGCTTAAGAGTAAACGGGCCAATATCAGCTAGAATTCGATCTATATTGGGTAGGTGAAGGGTTTCGTTGGATGCAGAGACAAGGATAGAGAAATTTAATCGTAAGTTGGGGGAGAAGAAGTATCAGCTTTATTTCACGTTTCGCTCTCTTCCATTGAAGAGTTATACATCATCATAATCGCCTAAATACACATTATTAATTAATTTATTTATTTATATATATTTATACTTCGTTAACGTTAGATAATTATTTGGTTTATATCACACGCTACTCGAGAGGCAGTTATAGAAACTAGATGGCTACTAAATCAGCGCAACTGCATAGGGGTGGGATCGGGTGGTTTCCATTGTTTTCAGGAGCGGAAGGGGGCTTCGGGGTTTTAATCCTTAACTTATGTACAATATATATATCAGCTGAATTTAACACAGTTTATACAAGTATGTACAGTCAGCGTATTATCTCAGTCTCGCAAATAGGATATGTAAGTGTCCATGGAGCCGGGGCCGCAGGATCACCTAAGACACACCAGGACTAGCAGAGCAATAAGCAGGAACCGGCATGGAACCGGAAGCTGAGCGGAGCCGCTGAATGCTCCAGGAAGGTCCTGGATAGCGGGCGGCCTGTTTGATGGTAGCGTGAATTCCCCATCGTAGTCGTATTCTGAAACAATCCAAGGAATGAACACAGTTAGATGAGCGAATTCATGAATCTCAGGTGCAGCCTTCAACCTGGGTTCGAGTCGTCGTCGGAGGTCTTGTCGGATGAGGAGACGCGGTTAAGATCCGAACCTCCACCGACACCACCACCTCTTCCCAGTCGATCGCCGCCAACGCGACCTCGACCTTAAACACACATCAAGTATTATTACGCTCGACCATCAAAAACATCAACTTTATGTTCATATCCGCAGCAACCATCATCCAAATACTACTATCAAGCCACATAAATACAAACTACAGCCACTACACTAAAATACCGCTATGAATGATGAATTCCGGTTGCGCCAAAGTGGATGAGCCTCCGATACAAGCCTTTAAACCGCAAACAAATAAAAAATAATAATGCTATTAATTCCGAATGCGTAATTCATTTAAGATATTTAAAAAAAATCCGCATTTCGACTATTGCTATTTTGGGATACATACACATATATACATTGACAGAGCCTTCATGCGTATGCAAATTGCTCCCATATTAATTAGAGCGCATTCATTTGAATCTACATTTTAAATCGCGCTTTACGCGGAAATCGCTTTAAATGCGCGCCGCGAATTTTCATAATTTATTTCCAACTGTCTTCGTCCACGATCTGCGCCCACTGTAATCGCATTATAATGCGCTAATTTTCAACTCCATTATCGCTTTCGCTCATTGTTAATTTACTCACACAAAATCAGCTTTAAAAAGCATAAACAGAAATGTGGACTATTGCAAATATTCTATATTCGGCTCTTCGGTAAGTTAAATACGTGTATTTAATACTATGTATCTATGATGTAGCTCATAGAAAATATGTTAAAGTGGCTCTATAATATATGAAAAACTGGAATGCGGGTCTCATGAGAGATTTGTTCTAAGTTCTCCTAAAGCAATTGAAAAAATATTGAATTTAACATTAAAAACTTTCAGCTTAGAATAAATGTTAAATTTAATTATTTTAAATTATCATATAAAAAATATTTAATAATAATATTTATTAATTACAGATATTTTTGGACAGAAAAAATATGTGCGCCCAAAAATATTTATTAATTATTAATTTCTAATTATGTTCACCCAATACCACTAAATTTGTTAATTATATTTTGTAGAAATATAAATAATTTTCGTTGACAAAGATTTGTAGTGCAATTAAAATAACTAATCTATATCTGTTTACTGGAAATTTTGCATATTTTGCAAATTTTAAAGTTGTTTAAACACATTAGATTTAACTAAATTTGAAACCCAAAATAAATAAAAAGAGAAATATAAAAACTGCGAATTTCAACCAATTAATAAAAGAGCAATATCATTATATCAATACATGAGATGTGCTTGCATTGGAATACAATAAGTTTAGCACAAGTACCGGAAATATTCGAGGTCTGCATGTGAACTTTACGTTTACTCTGGAGCTACTGAATTTCAAAGTTATTGAATTTGGTTATTGATCCAGAGAATACGTTCGAAATTTGGAAGTCAGATACGTAAGGCGGCATCCGATGTTTCCGTCAAATAACGTGAAAAAACACACTCATCCACATTTGAAAAAATAAAATAAAAATCTTTCATTATTCATTACGAATTTTAATGTTTTCTGGAGATATATTGTATTTAATGTTTATTCAATCAAAAAACATTACTTATATAATATTGAATTCAATTTGAATTATTAATAGAAAATAGTACAAAACCTCGCATAGTCCGGTAATGGGTTTTGACAATATCCCGGACTGTTTGAAACCGGGCTAATTGTGGAACTAAAAACATGTATAAGTAAACTTGTTGACTTGAAAAAAAAAATCGATAAATTTATTTAGAAATATGATTCAAAGCTCATTTTACACTTATCAAAAAATAAAATGAAATCAGGACTTCTTTAAAATATGATACTATCAAAAAGATGTAGAAGTGAAGAACTTCTACTTTATAGAAACACAAAACTTTTTTTAAGTTTTTTTTACTGATCAGAACATGTTTAAAAATTCAACTATCTCCACTACTATCTTTGTGTATTAATAATTTAACTAATAAATTAAGTTGTAAAATAAAAGTATATCATTTTTTCATCATGGTCCGGCTTCGGTCAATCCGGATTAGTCCGGTTATAAAATTTAAAAACAAACTAAAATTTAATTGAGCAAAATAAAAAATAATTTACGAAAATTATGTTTTTCGGGTAAGTGTTGATGCGAGAAATTAGTCTGGAATGAGTCGGTTTTTAAAACCTGGTTTTTAAAAACCGTTTTTTTGAAAGAATTAAAACATTCGAAACTCTGGATTTTTCCAACTACAAAACAGGTTTTTGAGCTTAGACTCAAAATATAAAAATCTTTCATGAATCAAACAGAATATTGGGAAGGAATCAAGTCTTAATCTTTGCTGTCAAACGAGAAAGTTTAGAGGCCAGAAATTGAAAAATTTTAAAACTGCATTTAGTTCTAAGGTAATAAATCTTGTAGAGACACTAATTCAAAAAAGAAGACAAAACGTTTGGATTTTAACGTATTTAACTTAAATTAAAATTTAAACCTGTTTTGTAGAAAATCTGAGATTAAAAAATGTTAAAGTCGGTTTTTGTATAAAATCTAACCAAGACTATGCGAGATATTGCTTATTTTTGTTCAATAAAAATATTACTTATTATAAATCTTCGAAATGTAAAGTAATTTAAAGTATATCAATGTAATAATACTATATCAAATATGCACTAAATTTAATAAATATCTTCATTTTGGCTTCAATCCATTTTATATATACATTATGTAGAAATTAAAAGCGAAGCTGAAAGATTGCAATTCGAGTAGAAACAATCTAAAAGAAGCTCAGAAAAGCGGTTATACTCGTCGTAAAATAAATTCTGCTGACATGCAATATAATGAAAACAATCTTACATGGATATATCTATGATATATCTATACACTTATATAAACTCCTTTTACGGATGTCGCCATTATTGACATTTTAAGCCCGAACCGAAACCCCTTTCGACAAAAAAAAACGACAAAAGACTTTCATCATTTATATAACACGCAAAAAAAATCTATACGAAGTAATGTTTTATGGAAACGTCGACATGCCACGTCATCAATATAAATCAAAGTCAAACTCTATTAAATCCATTCGCAATATATTTTTATACATAAAAGAAGGAGAAAAAAGTAACAATTATTGCCTATTGGATATAAAAAATACAATATCAGACGTGAAATTGAATAATCAGTTAATATGCGAGAAACTTTTTCGCTGGTAAAAAGTAATAATAATAGTAGAACGGTAATTCCCTCCATTCAAAATTTTAATGTGTTTAATTGTGAATCGAGACGGAATTTCCATTGTTGCATCGGGGTTGGAGAGAAAAAGAGAAAGAGAGACAAAAAAAAACAAGAAGTCCGTCCATCCGGTTCCGGAAGCGCAAACTTTAAATAGCCGCGAAACTAGTTCTGAAAACATTCAATTCATAAGCTCTCGCATCTGAATATATTGTACGCTGCCGGAGAGACGCTTTTAATACCCGAGACGAGAAATAAAATGAATTGAAAAACGGCGTAAAACAACATTTTCATTTTCGATTTATTAAATGCACGTCCGCTACTTCAGAACTCGCATTGTGAAAGATGTCTTTACAAAAAAAAACGGGTTCTGGATTTTAATATCGTGTTCATGGGAAGTCAACCAGTTTAATGCATCTGCTATGTGAAGTTATTGCCTAAAAATGAGGTAGTAGATCTGAAAGTTTCTAAAACAAGCTAATAGATGATGTACGTATTTTTTTTATTAGTATGTAGTAAAAGAGACAACAAATACCGGTAATTTCAGTAATTAGTAATTTGAATTGGAATAGAAATATAGAAAATCCAAATGAAATTTTCATGTTCTCATAGTCAAACCCACAAGTGTCGAAGCAATATAAGATTTCTACAGTGACAATTAAGGTTTATAGAATAACCGATTTTTCTATTTTTATTTATAATTTTATTTCATATTTTAAATCATTTAAATAATGTACCTAAATTTTGATATCTTCTGCTTAGACCAAAAATGATGTAAATAATCCCCTTTTTGAATTCGTGTCTTTACAGCTTAGAACTATTTTCAGATTTCAAATTTATCAAATCGCGTAACATAATTCAAATATGTCTTAACATGTTAATAAGTTCACATCTTGTCATCCTAAAGCTTCAGCTTATTAACGTATTCGTCCTCCAACATCTTAGGAACTAAGGTTAAACCTTAGTGGCAAGATCTGTTAAAATTCTCAATGATAAGACATATGATTCGATTTGTCTACTACGTGCACATTTTTGTTTTGCTGTGTTTATACATTATACTTTGCAAAAAGATTTTCGTTAATTCACCGGTTAACCGGTTTTTACTTAAAATATGTAACGTTTACCGTTAAAAGAAAATATTTGTATTTGGAATTTGGACCAATATTAAATTTTCATCTATGTGTATATTGTGGTAGCTAATGCGCCTTTGATCAGTATGGATTCACTATAGTAAGTGTTACAACGCAACATGGTCGTTTCTATCATTGATGCTTAACTCTTACAAAACCTAGCTTAATTAGGTAACTTTGTCGTGTACGTTGGTGCCACCTTTCACAACCATGTTGTGATATAACAGTATAATTTGAAAATTTTCTTACAAACTAAATTTGAATTGATAATTATGAAATATGTACTCTAAATTGTTTTTTATACAAAGATAATTATTACCTTTTTGTGCTGAATATTTTATGAGTTCTCGATTATTATAGGAATTCAATCATGTTAATGCACCTGCGTTGTTATACTGCATATAATATATTCTCTATAAGTAAAGTAAAACTTGTTTGCTAAATAATATATGTGAAAGTTTTATAACAAACTACATTTGTTTTTATAAATATGAGTTGCATATTTAAATGCGTATTTCAACTCTATTATTATATGAATCCGAATAATCGAAATCAATTTACATTAATCAAATTTCCATTCTGATTTTAAATCATTGTCAAATATGGTATAAATTAGTAAAAATCGCAAAGGGGTTGCCAAAGTTAAAAAGGCGAAGTCAGTATTCAAAAGAAGACATAACTTTGTATTACAAAAATGGAAAGATGAAAGTGATGTGCTTATGATTTCCAAAAAAACAT